GCCGGGATGGCGGTGGGGCCTGCGCATGCGCTGTCGGTGCTGGTGCTGGGGCTGGTGCTGAGCGGCGGGACCGGGACCGGGACCGGGAGCGGGGCCGCGGGCGGCGATGACCTCCTGAGCCGGGCGGGCACCGCCGCGTGGTCGGCGCTAGAGGGCGCGCTGGGACCGCAGCCGCTGCGAGCGGTGGCGGAGGTGGGTCCGGGTCCGAGAGGGGGGAACGGGATAGAGCATCCCTATGGCACACACATGGGGCAGGGAATGGGGGATCCATCCCAGGGATAGCGCATCCCTATGGCACACACATGGGGCTGGGAATGGGGGCTCCATCCCAGGGATAGCGCATCCCTATGGCACACACATGGGGCAGGGAATGGGGGCTCCATCCCAGGGATAGCGCATCCCTATGGCACACACATGGGGCAGGGAATGGGGGATCCATCCCAGGGATAGCGCATCCCTATGGCAGATACATGGGGCAGGGAATGGGGGCTCCATCCCAGGGATAGCGCATCCCTATGGCACACACATGGGGCAGGGAATGGGGGCTCCATCCCAGGGATAGCGCATCCCTATGGCACACACGTGGGGCAGGGAATGGGGGATCCATCCCAGGGATAGCGCATCCCTATGGCACACACGTGGGGCAGGGAATGGGGGATCCATCCCAGGGATAGCGCATCCCTATGGCACACACGTGGGGCTGGGAATGGGGGCTCCATCCCAGGGATAGCGCATCCCTATGGCAGATACATGGGGCAGGGAATGGGGGCTCCATCCCAGGGATAGCGCATCCCTATGGCACACACGTGGGGCAGGGAATGGGGGCTCCATCCCAGGGATAGCGCATCCCTATGGCACACACGTGGGAAGGGAATGGGGGCTCCATCCCAGGGATAGCGCATCCCTATGGCAGATACATGGGGCAGGGAATGGGGGCTCCATCCCAGGGATAGCGCATCCCTATGGCACACACATGGGGCAGGGAATGGGGGATCCATCCCAGGGGTAGCACATCCCTATGGCACACACATGGGGCAGGGAATGGGGGATCCATCCCAGGGATAGCGCATCCCTATGGCACACACGTGGGGCAGGGAATGGGGGATCCATCCCAGGGATAGCGCATCCCTATGGCACACACATGGGGCAGGGAATGGGGGATCCATCCCAGGGATAGCGCATCCCTATGGCACACCCATGGGGCAGGGAATGGGGGCTCCATCCCAGGGATAGTGCATCCCTATGGCACACACATGGGAAGGGAATGGGGGCTCCATCCCAGGGATAGAGCATCCCTATGGCACACACGTGGGGCAGGGAATGGGGGATCCATCCCAGGGATAGCGCATCCCTATGGCACACACATGGGGCAGGGAATGGGGGCTCCATCCCAGGGATAGCGCATCCCTATGGCACACACGTGGGGCAGGGAATGGGGGATCCATCCCAGGGATAGCGCATCCCTATGGCACACACGTGGGGCAGGGAATGGGGGATCCATCCCAGGGATAGCGCATCCCTATGGCACACACATGGGGCTGGGAATGGGGGATCCATCCCAGGGATAGCGCATCCCTATGGCACACACATGGGACAGGGAATGGGGGATCCATCCCAGGGATAGAGCATCCCTATGGCACACACCTGCGGCAGGGAATGGGGGCTCCATCCCAGGGATAGCGCATCCCTATGGCACACACGTGGGAAGGGAATGGGGGCTCCATCCCCTCCCTCCCTCTCCCGCAGTTCCTCTCCAGCTGCCTCTGGGCCATCTCCTGCGGGCTCTCGGCTGCTCTGGGCGCGCTTGGTGGGATCCTGGGCGAGCTCCTGGCGGCTGCTGGCATCAACGGTGAGTGCCGGGCCCGGGGCCTCCACGTGGCACCGGTGGCACCAGGGACACACCAGTGACTCCATTAACACCATTGACACCAGTGACACCAGTAACACACCAGTAACACCATTGACACTGGTACTGCCCACACCAGTACCACCAGTACTGCACACACCGGTACCACCAGCACTGCATACACCAGTGACACCAGTACTGCACACACCAATGACACCATTGACACCGGTACCACCAGCACTGCATACACCAGTGACACCAGTGACACCGGTACCACCAGTACTGCACACACCAGTGACACCAGTACTGCACACACCAATGACACCATTGACACCGGTACCACCAGCACTGCATACACCATTGACACCAGTGACACCGGTTCCACCAGTACTGCACACATCAGTGACACCGGTACCACCAGCACTGCATACACCAGTGACACCGGTACCACCAGCACTGCATACACCAGTGACACCAGTACTGCACACACTAGTGACACCAGTGACACCGGTACAACCAGTACTGCACACACCGGTACCACCAGCACCGCACACACCAGTGACACCGGTACCACCAGCACCGCACACACCATTGACACCAGTGACACCGGTACCACCAGCACCGCACACACCAGTGACACCAGTGACACCGGTACCACCAGCACCGCACACACCATTGACACCAGTGACACCAGTACCGCACACACCAGTGACACCAGTGACACCGGTACCACCAGCACCGCACACACCAGTGACACCAGTGACGCCGGTACCACCAGCACCGCACACACCATTGACACCAGTGACACCGGTACCACCAGCACCGCACACACCATTGACACCAGTGACATCGGTACCACCAGCACTGCACACACCAGTGACACCAGTGACACCGGTACCACCAGCACCGCACACACCGGTACCGCCAGCACCGCACACACCAGTGACACCGGTACCACCAGCACCGCACACACCGGTACCACCAGCACCGCACACACCAGTGACACCAGTACTGCACACTCCATTGACACCGGTACCACCATCACCGCACACACCAGTGACACCAGTGACACCGGTACCACCAGCACCGCACACACCATTGACACCATTGACACCGGTGCCACCAGCACCGCACACACCATTGACACCAGTGACACCGGTACCACCAGCACCGCACACACCAGTGACACCAGTGACACCGGTACCACCAGTGCCGCACACACCAGTGACACCAGTGACACCGGTACCACCAGCACCGCACACACCAGTGACACCAGTGACACTGGTACCACCAGCACCGCACACACCATTGACACCAGTGACACCGGTGCCACCAGCACCGCACACACCAGTGACACCGGTACCACCAGCACCGCACACACCAGTGACACCAGTACTGCACACACCATTGACACCAGTGACACCGGTGCCACCAGCACCGCACACACCAGTGACACCGGTACCACCAGCACCGCACACACCATTGACACCATTGACACCGGTACCACCAGCACCGCACACACCATTGACACCAGTGACACCGGTACCACCAGCACCGCACACACTAGTGATACCAGTACTGCACACACCATTGACACCGGTACCACCAGCACCGCACACACCATTGACACCGGTACCACCAGCACCGCACACACCAGTGACACCAGTGACACCGGTACCACCAGCACCGCACACACCAGTGACACCGGTACCACCAGCACCGCACACACTAGTGATACCAGTACTGCACACACCAGTGACACCGGTACCACCAGCACCGCACACACCAGTGACACCGGTACCACCAGCACCGCACACACCAGTGACACCAGTGACACCGGTACCACCAGCACCGCACACACCATTGACACCAGTGACACCGGTACCACCAGCACCGCACACACCAGTGACACCAGTACTGCACACACCATTGACACCGGTGCCACCAGCACCGCACACACCAGTGACACCGGTACCACCAGCACCGCACACACCATTGACACCATTGACACCGGTACCACCAGCACCGCACACACCATTGACACCAGTGACACCGGTACCACCAGCACCGCACACACCAGTGACACCAGTGACACCGGTACCACCAGTACCGCACACACCAGTGACACCAGTACTGCACACACCAGTGACACCAGTGACACCGGTACCACCAGCACCGCACACACCATTGACACCAGTGACACCGGTGCCACCAGCACCGCACACACCAGTGACACCGGTACCACCAGCACCGCACACACCAGTGACACCAGTACTGCACACACCATTGACACCAGTGACACCGGTGCCACCAGCACCGCACACACCAGTGACACCGGTACCACCAGCACCGCACACACCATTGACACCATTGACACCGGTACCACCAGCACCGCACACACCATTGACACCAGTGACACCGGTACCACCAGCACCGCACACACTAGTGATACCAGTACTGCACACACCATTGACACCGGTACCACCAGCACCGCACACACCAGTGACACCAGTGACACCGGTACCACCAGCACCGCACACACCAGTGACACCGGTACCACCAGCACCGCACACACTAGTGATACCAGTACTGCACACACCAGTGACACCGGTACCACCAGCACCGCACACACCAGTGACACCGGTACCACCAGCACCGCACACACCAGTGACACCAGTGACACCGGTACCACCAGCACCGCACACACCATTGACACCAGTGACACCGGTACCACCAGCACCGCACACACCAGTGACACCAGTACTGCACACACCATTGACACCGGTGCCACCAGCACCGCACACACCAGTGACACCGGTACCACCAGCACCGCACACACCATTGACACCATTGACACCGGTACCACCAGCACCGCACACACCATTGACACCAGTGACACCGGTACCACCAGCACCGCACACACTAGTGATACCAGTACTGCACACACCAGTGACACCGGTACCACCAGCACCGCACACACCATTGACACCAGTGACACCGGTACCACCAGCACCGCACACACCATTGACACCAGTGACACCGGTACCACCAGCACCGCACACACCATTGACACCAGTGACACCGGTACCACCAGCACCGCACACACCAGTGACACCAGTGACACCGGTACCACCAGCACCGCACACACCAGTGACACCAGTGACACCGGTACCACCAGCACCGCACACACCAGTGACACCAGTGACACCGGTACCACCAGCACCGCACACACCATTGACACCAGCACCGCACACACCAGTGACACCAGTGACACCAGTGACACCGGTACCACCAGCACCGCACACACCAGTGACACCGGTACCACCAGCACCGCACACACCAGTGACACCGGTACCACCAGCACCGCACACACCAGTGACACCGGTGCCACCAGCACCGCACACGGGTGCCCCCCGTACTTCCCAACTCCCCCGGTCCCCCCGTCTCGGGTGCCCCCGTTCCAGCCGCTCCCCGTCCTCCCTTGCAGGCTCCCCCGCGCTGCGGGCGGCGGTCCCGGGCCCGGCCGCGGTTCAGCGGGCGCTGCTGTGGTCGCTGGCGGCGCTGGCGCTGTCGGGGCTCGGCTCCCGGTTGCGGGCGCGGGCGCTGCCGCTGGTGCGGTTCGCGCTGCGCTGCTGCTTCCTGGGCGCCTTCGTGTGGGTGGCGGGGTCCGCGCAGAGCCCCACGGCGCAGGCGGGGCAGCTCCTGGCGCTCTGGGGCTTGCGCTGCGCCCTCGAGGCCGTCGGGGCTCCCCCCGAGCCCGAGCCGCGCTTGGAGGCTGCGCTGCGGAGCCTGGAGTGGAAGGTGGAGGAGCTGCGGAGGAGGCAGAGGTGGGGGGGACCCCGCAACAGGGA